TTTTAAAACAAAATAGAAATGAAGTGGATTTTTGATCTTTAAACACTCTTCCCCCATGGTCTCCCCCCACCTAAACTCTATGTAGCGTCGGCTCTGTCTCGTTATGTGGCGATTACCTCTCCTCTTCGCCCTTCTCGTTGTGGTCAGTTATTGATTTCTTATGTCAGACCTCACAAACCAGTCCCGTCTCCTACTTTGGCGTGATGGATTAAATGGTTGTTGGCATTAGCAGGGGTGAATTCGTCCTTCAGGGCAGGTTCGGTTAGAGGTGCAGCGGCCTCTGGAGCCTTCATGGCGGGCGCATCTCTTCAGGACTTCATGAGTTCGGCTGACTGGTCCTGAGAAGATACCTTTCACTGATTTTATTTTAGAACGTCGGATCATGCTTTTGCTTTGCTGTCTGAGTGTTAAAACAGCAAATATGAAGCTTCCTGTTATGTTATAAAATTGTAGATTATACTAGCTCATTAACTTTATTAATGACAGGAGGCAAATATTTCCCTCCCAGTTTCTCCCTCCCTTTGTACTTTGTTTGTTTTAGTTGACCACCTCTAATTGTTAGTCTGTTCTCCAGGGTTGTGTTAGCTAGGTCAGATATTTGTTTTCCTTGAGGAAGTCAGGGTGTAATTTCTGGGATGTTGTACTGTTGTGATTGATTATGGGTAATTTATGTTGTCGCAGTACTTTGCATTCACTAATCATTGTTTTCACTTTAATGGTTCGTCTACAGTTCCAAGTTCAAGACGGCCTTCGGGATAAAGTTCAAGGCTTCAGCTAAGGATCCATTTTCATTTCGAGTTCTTCTGCTAGGGATATTGCGTTATATTGTTCATGTACTTTGTTTGTCGCAGCTTGAAAGAAGAAGTAGTTGGTTGGGAGGGGCCTTTTATGGTTTCCTTACTTTTTTTCTGATTGGTTATTTCTCTCTATGTTAATGTGCGGCTGTGGAGTTCTAGTAAAGAGAGACTTAAGCATATATTCGCCTCCTGTCATTAATAAAATTAAGATTATAGTTAAACTAAAGCTAGTATAATCTACAATTTACCCCCATCAAACCATATATTTTTGAAAAGTAGACACCCTAGGGTATTTCAAATGGTGGTATTTTAACACTTTCCATGCGCTAATTCTACCACCAATCTTTGTCAACCTTTTGGGTAATCATTTTTTTGTGTTATTTTTCACACACATTGTACTTTAGGCATGGAGTCTCAGCTCCTGTTTTATATTACTGCCAAAGAACACCCCAATATGTGTTCAGCAACATCTACTGAGTACAAAAGTGCCCCCCAATGTACAGGTTTTATTGCTTTTTGCAAACTTACAGGGGTCAAATATAGGTCTTTCCCCTATTCCATGTTTGCACATTGAAATTTGCCAGATTGGTTTGCTGGGCCTATGTTGTCTTTGAGACCGTATAGCAGCCCAGGAATGAAAATTACCCCATCATGGCATACCATTTGTAAAAGTAGATAACCCACGGTATTTAAAATGTGGCATCTTCGGTCTTTTGTAGTAGCCACTTAGTCACAAATGCTCGCCAAAGTTAGTGTTCATATTTGTTTTTTGAATTTTTGTTTACACAAAAACTGCACTTTTACTGGTGATTTCATCGTCGTGATAAGTTTTACTGTTGTAAACACTCATATTTGTGTTCAGCGAAGTCTCCTGAGTATAACAATACCCACCATGTACAGGTTTTATGGTGGTTTGAAAAGGTACAGGGTCAATATAGGGCTTGCCCAATTCAGTTTGCCAGATTGGTTTGTTGGGTCTGTGCTGCCTTTTGAGACCATATGGTAGCCCTGGAATGTGAAATAACCCCATATTGGCATACCATTTTCAAATGTAGACAACCCAGGGTATTCAAAATGGGGTATGTCCAGTCTTTTGTAGTAGCCACTTAGTCACAAATGCTGGCCAAGTTTTTATTTATTTTTTAATAATTTTTATTTCCAATTTATAATATATATATATATATATATAAAATATATGTGTGTGTCTATATATATATATATATATATATATATATATATATATATATATATATATATATATATATATATATAGAGAGAGAGAGAGAGAGAGAGAGAGAGAGAGAGAGAGAGAGAGAGAGAGAGAGAGAGAGAGAGAGAGAGAGAGAGAGAGAGAGAGAGAGAGAGAGAGAGAGAGAGAGAGAGAGACACAAATATACTGTGAGAGAAAATGTGGAATGGTTGTTGAGGGAATATATATTAGGCCTGATTTACTAAACAACAGCCTGAGGTTACTCAATTAACCCCTTAACGCCAGGTGTACTATTACATCCTATTTTAAGTGGCTCTAAATGCCGCCGGGCGTAATAGAACCCCCTCTGGTTTTTTTGTACTTACCCGGTCGCCTGCGATCCCACGCCGGCGATCGCGGTTGGGAGGACTCAAAGGGAGCCCCCCACGGCACATCCGACGTCCTGAAGCCCCCCTGGCAATGTGAGAGTGAGGTCCTTGCGAGGACCTCACAATCACATGGCCGGGATAGCTGGCTTCTGTATTGCCAGCAGGGGGGCTGCCTGTTATGACAGGTGGTCCCCCTGCTGGCTGGAAATAAAATAAAATAATGTTAAAAGTGTAAAAAAATTAAATAATTATATACTTAAAATATTTATCTTTATATCATATAGATATGATCTAAGTGTATATATATATATATATATATATATATATACATATACACACACACACGGTCTAGGTGTATTTTACTATTAATATATATATATATATATATATATATATATATATATATATATATATATATATATATATATATATATATACATATATATCAAATCACACATAGACTGATACTGATTAAATATATATATATATATATATATAATTATTGTTATATATATTTATGTATAATATAAAAAAAATGTAAATATCGCTAAAAATAAAAATTAAAAATAATAAAAATAATAAAATATATAGATGTGTGTTATTTCGTTCTAACTGTATTAGATATTAATATATATATATATATATATTTATATCAAATATCATGTAGAATCAAAAATAATATATATATCTATATACATATATATATATATATATATATATATATATATATATATATATATATATATATATATATATATATATATATACACACACACACACACCTATATATAAATAAAAATATTTAAAAATAATTATATATATATATATATATATACACACACACACACACACACACACACATATATATATATATATATACACACACACACATATATTAATTCTACATATATATTTATGTAATATTTTTACATAATTAGGTATCTTAATTAATTACAATTAGCGGGACCTGCCTGACAACCCATGCTGAAAGTAAAGGGAATTTAATTTGCTAGCACTATATTTAACTCTATAACTTTCCAAGACACCATAAAACCTGTACATGGGGGGTACTGTTCTACTCGGGAGACTTGGCTGAACACAAATACTAGTGTTTCAAAACAGTAAAATGTATTACAACGATGATTTTGCCAGTAAAAGTGACATTTTTCACGCACAAACAGCACTTACACAGACAATATTATTGCTGCAATACTTTTTACTGTTTTGAAACACAAATATTTGTGTTCAGCGAAGTCTCCCGAGTACAACAGTACCCCTCACGTACAGGTTTTATGGTGTGTTCAAACGTTACAGCGTCAAATATAAGGCTTGTGTTTCATTTTTTTCACATTAAAATTTGCCAGATTGGTTAGGTTGCCTTTGAGACCCTATGGTAGCCCAAGAATTTAAATTACCCCTATGATGGCATACCATTTGCAAAAGAAGACAACCCAAGGTATTGCAAATGGGGTATGTCCAGTCTTTTTTAGTAGCCACTTGGTCACAAACACAAAAAAGACTGGACATACCCCATTTGTAATACTTTGGGTTGTCTACTATTGCAAATGGTATGCCATTATGGGTGTAAATTTCATTCCTGGGCTACTATACAGTCTCAATGGCAACGTAACAAATCTGGTGAATTTCAATTTCAAATTTAACGTGTTATATTTGACCATGTAACTTCCCAAAACGCCATAAAACCTGTACATAGGGGGTACTGTCTTACACGTGAGACTTTGCTGAATACAAATATGTGTATTTTATTGCAGTAAATGCAAACAGTATTATGACATTGACAGTTAAAATGTCATGTAGAACTAAAAAAAATCTTAATTTAATATGAAAAAAATGGGAGAAAATATGTTTCATAACTAAATATTTGATATTAAATGAAAGCCCTGTTTCCCCTGAATAAAATGATATATAATAAGGGTGGGTGCATTTACTATGAAAGAGGTGAATTATGGTTGGACAGACATGTAGCGCAAATGCCAGGTTTTGTTTACATTTTGTTTTGTTCACAACGTCTACATTTGGCTCCGTCCTTAAGGGGTTAAATGCCCCAGGGAGAGATGTTAGGTTTGCAAGATACATTGTTGGTACTCTGCAAACCATGGTAAGGGTCCCTGGGGTAGAGCATTTGGAGAGCAGGGTGGGCCAGTGCTCCAATAGCACTAGTTGCTATAGAACAGCCAGACCAGATCTTGTGTATATAGCTTAGGAGTTCCAGAGATATGAACTAATTAATACTCACCTGTAGCTGGTCAATTAGCAAGCAGGCTTTTAAAAGAAGGGATCAGCCTGCTGCAGAGTGAGGGAGAAAGAGCCAGAGGAATGGTGTGTTTTGCAGCTATATCTTGTAAATGTTAAGTGGGAAAGCCACCCAATTCCAGATAGTAATTACTCTGTTTACTAAGTGCTCAAACAAGAGCAAGGAATTTTGTTTTGTTTATTTTATTTTGGAGTGCCTATATATTTTGCACCAAATAAATCAGAAAAACAGAGCTGAATGTGTCCTGGACTTTGATTACCCTAGAAGGCTGTGGTTACCATAAGATCTATGACAAAATCCTACCTGTAAAAGAGGTGGTTTGTTACAATACATATAATATACGTGTATATAATACGTGTGTGTGTGTGTGTGTGTGTGCATATATACACACACACACACACACACACACACACACACACACACACCTTTCCTATATATGTATAATATATTATAATTAAAGCATTTTATAATATATGATTTCATTATAAGTGTATTTTGAGATGTGTATATATCTCAAAGTACACTTTTAATTAAATCATATATTTGCATTATATATGTATACCTTATTATCAAATGGCTTAACTACTATTAAAACAGACATGGACAATACACTATCTAAACAGTTAAAGATACCAGACAATTTAACACAGGCTGAGAGAACTGCCCTTAAGGATTTAAGTGAAGATGACAAATTAGTGATTTATTCTGTGGGTTAAGAATGCACAAGCAATTTACACACTAAATGGTAGTGAATTAGGGATAACCACACACGAGAAGGATTTGGGAATTGTTATAGATAACAAATTAGGCAGCAATATGCAATGTCAATTTGCAGTTGCTAAGGCCAGTAAGGTTTTGTCATGTATAAATAGGGGCATAAATTCTCGGGATGAAAATATAATTTTGCCTCTTTATAAATCACTGGTAAGATTTTGGTGCAATTTTGGGCGCATGTTCTAAAGAAAGATATCATGGCACTAGAAAAAGTCCAGAGACGAGCTACAAAATTGATAAAAGGAATGGAGCATTTTAGTTATGAAGAAAGGTTAAAAAAAATGTAATCTGTTTAGTTTGGAAAAACGGCGCCTGAGAGGGGATATGATAACTTTATACAAATATATTCGGGGCCAGTACAAACCTTTATCTTGAAATCTATTCATAAACAGGGCTATACATATGACACAAGGTCACACATTTAGGCTGGAAGAACGGAGATTTCATCTAAGGCAAAGAAAAGGTTTTTTTTTTACAGTAAGAGCAATAAGGATATGAAATTCTCTGCCTGAAGAGGTGGTTTTGTCAGAGTCACTACAGAGGTTTAAACTGCAATTGGATAAATACTTACAAAAACATAACATACAGGGATATAATTTCTTAATAGTGGGGTAATAGCTGCTTGATCCAAGGAGACATCTGACTGCTATTTTGGGGTCAAGAAGGAATTTTTTCCTAGTTTGTGGCAAAATTGGAAGCGCTTCAGACTAGGTTTTTTGCCTTCTTTTGGATCAACAGCAACAACATATGTGAGGAAGGCTGAACTTGATGGACGCAAGTCTCTTTTCAGCTATGTAACTATGTAACTTCCTATCCCTGCCTCTCTCCATACACAGTGACCCCTACTGGCCGGTGCTGGTATTGCAGAGTAATCTACGTTTATACTGAGCAAAATATTTGCATTTGTATTCCCAGTATTACTGCAATACCATCACGGCCAGGCAGCCTCAAATACTGGCTGTGCCTTAAAATACCAGTCAGGTGGCAGACCCAAGAGTAGTGTGTGTAAAAAAAAAATTAAAAAAAAAATTTATATATATATATATATATATATATATTTTTTTTTTTTTTTTTAAATGGGCCTTTTTCCATGGGCCTGGAGCTGCAGCTCCATCAGCCCCTATGTTAATCCGGCCCTGGAACCGGGTGCTGCTATCCAAGGAGAAGTTGTTGTGTTTTGAGCTACTACTGTGGTCCTTAAAGATAAGTACCACATTTTTATCTTGTAAGAGGTCCTTATTTGGGGGGTGGGGGTTGTGTACTGGGGCAATAAATATATGGTTTTATACAGTATTATACTATATTTGATTTTTTTGCTTCAGGGTATATCAGCACACTAGGTGGTTCAACACTGCTGTACACAGGATTTAGACCATCTTCCCTACAAGTGACTCTAATTAACTGACTTTTTAATCATCATTACTCAAGTTTTACTTACAAGACCATTTGTGAGATTACAGTTTTTGGTTTTATATTTTTTTATATTCTTTTACCCCCATATGACTTTAAAGGGGGTTATCTGGGGGGCGGAGCCTGGCTTCCAGGCTGCATGGACGTGCTGAAACAGAGCTCCTGAGCACAATAGCACGATTCGGGGCAAAGACCCCAATAAAAATGCACGCACAGCACCTGGAGAGTGACAGCAGAGTCGGGGACACCCGGGCAAAACGATCGATACCAGTAATTAACCCGCTACTTACCGGGAACCGGCACCAGCACCAAGAGGCCTACTCGAGACCCTGTAGGGGAGAGGCGGCCGCTCTCCTCGCAGGCGACCCTGCACATAGAACCTCCACGATACTCATCTCCTACCCCCCCCCCTCTGGACCGGCGGGGGTTATCCCGGTCCGCACAGTGTGTTCGGAGACACCAGCTACCCGGAGACGCGAACAGAAGATAAAGCAGTGCTGGCGCCCACACGGCTCCCCCAAGATGGCGGCCGTCACCACGCTGCCTGCACTGAATCAGCTACAGCATACGACGATCCTACAAGACACCGCACAGCGCCTGAACGCAATATTCAGCCGCTTCTGGGCACAACTCAGAGACCGCATGAGAGCAGCACAAATCATTCAGAAACCTGCACGGATGGCAGGTAAGAGAGGCAGCTGGCGGCGGGGACAGGGAAGTGTACCCTTGGGCACAGCGACAGGTGACCCACGCACCCCCAAACCACAGAGCCCACCCGGGCTGAAGGCCAAAAGGGAGAAGACCCGGACGCATCGCCCACACGCAAGGAGGCTTTATCGCCGCAAGCGGCCAAAGCCCATCAGGCCCTCCATTGCCCCCGTCAGGGGAAGAAACTCAGGCTCCAGTAGTTGCAGAGTTAGTGGCACCGAGATGCAGGCCTATATAACAGCCTGGGGCTGGAAGGATATCTTCACACTGCCCACCGCTGCTGCAGCCTTCAACACCACACCAACCAATGCTCACTGTTTCACAAGGGACGGCATCGGCTAATGGAGACTCTCTACACAAAGTCTCTGGACAGGTCAGCACCAGGCCCATAATCCCTCAGTTTAAGCCTGTTAAACTAGGTGTCCAGGACTGACAACCATGGAGAGCAGAAAACATAAACACACACAACTCCGAACCACAGTGCTCTACAAGCAAACAGTAATGCTTAACGACGTGCAAATGTTATCTTTTCTTTTATGTCTACTGCTATGATCTCTCATCACGCTACCTACACAATTGTTTAGCCCGGCATGTTAGTAGTTAATAGTTTTATGCTTCACATAACCCTGCCGACAAACCATGCCACAATATGCGGCAAAACAAGCCAAGATAAAAACCTGACTTGTAAGCATATAGCAGCTATTTGAGCGACTATTGAAATGATTTAGCTGGTATGTTACCTGCCATAAAGTGCTAGCTGCATTAATACGACTAATTTAGCATTGTTAAGCTCTAATTGTCAATTGTCACTACTATTATTTGTCTCCTCTACTTTAACTTAGATACTATAACTGTTTAGTTATAAAAATATAGAAAAATGTGCATATTCTCAGGCCACTGTCTAACATGTATTGATCTTGTTATACGCTGTTGTGGCGTTCATTGACACCATGTACTCACCTGCACAATAAAAATAAAGAATTTAAAAAAAAAAAAAAAAAAGGGGGTTATCTACTAAACGCTGAAACTATTTACATTGTATCTTTAGCAGTTGTTTTTATTTTATGTTTTAGCAGTTGATAATTATTGTGTACCTTGTACCTGTATGTTTTTCTGCATTTTGTCACTATCTAGATTGGTATATATTGTTAGTGAGCGGTTTTACTTAATAGCCTACATGTAAAGACGCAGCCATACTTTACTCTTTTATGCTTTATGCGCTCTCTCCCTCACATTTGATATAGATATATATATATATATATATAGATATATATATATATATATATATATATATATATTTAATACAATGTTAAGGTGAGTCACAATTTAGCCATATCTACCAACCCCATCTATGTCTTTCCTGCAATGCCACTTATCCCTATCCCTAATTTAAAATCTTTTTGTTCCTGTCCTATCCCTAGGACAGACTTAGTCATTTTAGGACTAAAAACTTTTTCTTTTATGGCTTAACTGAGGATAATCTTTTCCTCTGGCCCCTTGGGAGTTCAGTCTCTCTCCCTTAGGAAGTCTCTCTTCAAAGGTGACCCCCCTGGAGAAAACCTGTTAGTGACCGTTACCCTAGGTAGCCAAGATCATACATCACCATAATTTCTGCAGTGACCCAATGGGTAGCAGGCTGGGCATGCACATACAGAGCATATTGATTGCAAGGATTAATATGACATTGACTAACATTCCATCGCTGAAAGAGTTAATGTGAGACTAACATTCCAGCACTGAAAGGGGTTAATGTACAACTATGTTATCTTGTACTTTCCCATGGATTTACTTGCTGTTATTATTAGTATTATTATTGCCATTTATATAGCGCCAACAGATTTGTAGCGCTTTACAATATTATGAGAGGAGGGATTTAACTATAAATAGGACAATTACAAAAAACTTACAGGAACGATAGGTTGAAGAGGACCCTGCTCAAACGAGCTTACATTCTATAGGAGGTGGGGTGTAAAACACAATAGGACAGGAATTTGCAATCAAATAAGGTGGGAGTGATGCAGAGCTGGAGGAGAGAGTAGAGTGCTGCCCTTTAGGAGAGAGCAAGAGACAGGTATGTGAGGTAGAGGTTAGTCTGGGAGGCCATAAGCTTTCCTAAAGAGATGGGTTTTAAGGCACTTCTTAAAAGATGCAAGACTAGGGGAGAGTTTGATGGCGGTAGGCAGGCTATTCCATAGGAAGGGAGCCACCCGCGAGAAGTCCTGCAAGCGTGAGTTGGCTGTACGGGTGTAAACAACGGACAGGAGGTGGTCACGGGCAGAGCGGAGAGACCGAGAATGGACATACCTATGGATCTGTGAAGAGATATAGGAAGGGCTAGAATTATTCAGTGCTTTATGTGTGTGAATTGGTATCTTGAATTGATTTCTATAGCATACAGGAAGCCAATGTGGGGCCTGACAGAGGGGTGAGGTGTGAGAGAACCGACTAGATAGAAAAATCAGTCTGTCGGCAGCGTTCATTATGGACTGTAGCAGTGCAGTACAGCTATTGGGAAGACCAATCAGGAGAGGG